CTGTAACCAAATCCTTAAGTTTGTCACCAAAAAAAGTAATGAGAAATGATCACCTATTGTGTAATATCTGAGGCATAGCATTGCATCTAAAATATTTAGGTAATCTTTTTTGTCTAGTGTTCTTCGTCGACAGATGAAGTCACACATTTAAGCAGGAATGTCTTCCCCAAGCAGTGCTTTTCACTTATTAAAAGATCAATCAAATATTTATTAGACAAGCACGCTTTTCACAAGAGACTAACATGCTCATAAATTTTCAGCCATGTAGCAGTTTGACTCAGAGCATAAATGATTCTGTCTGCTTCACTAACTCTTCACTAAAGTCTTAAACAATTCAGGAACCTTTCCATTTAAAGCAAAGGAAGCCTTGTGAAGGCAGTTACTCATTCAAAGCAGCAGCACTCGCTCCCGAGGTGCATCATCCACTAATGTGCGCTGAGTGATTTCGTATTCACAGTGGTAGGATTGTAATTCAGAAAAAGTCTTAGCGGGAAAACCCAATTAGGATGCCAAGAAGGGGCATGTAATAAGATTCAGACACTCTGTAATGGAGTGACGGGGAAGGTAATAAGGCGGGCCCATGTTGAGCTCTCACTCTGAGCAGATTTCAATCAGGGTCATCCTGGGAAGCATCATCTGCCTTGAAAATGGGATCCAACACCCTCCCCTCCTGGTTTGGTAATTATGATAAAAACGCATTATACCTTTTTAAGACAGGTGATTCATTTTGCAGTTTCTACAACAAATGAACAAAACTTTATTTTAGAAAAGGCTTGAAAATCAAATCAATGACTATTTTGACAACCCATTGATGGTGTAAGCAGTTTATTCCTATAATAACAAATATTTACTGGTTTCAGCTCCTCAAGTGTGAGGTTTTTCAGCTGTTCTGGTCTGTCACGTTGCACTTGTGGCTTATGACAGATATTATCAGTATTTTAAAAACTAAACAAGATTAAGTAGGATGATTGAAAATTGACATATTCTTTCATTGTAACCACCAAATAAACTTGTTTTAAGTTTGAGGTACAGCACGAGAAATAATATGGAATCAACTTTGATTATTGCTTATTTAGTCGTGAATATTTAACCTGCATTAACTGCCACTTGGGGGCAGCAGGAACAAGCTGTAAACCCAACAGTCACGCATCATCAGCTTTTAAGTTGATGTGACTAATGTGTTGCTTGTTTACACATCCAGCAACATTATCATTCATTTGGAGTCGTGTTTCTGGCCAGCTGCTCAATGTCAGTCCAATATATATTTTTTATATTCTGTATTCATGATATACTCTATATTTGGTCTCCACCAACACCTGAGGGAAATATCTGCTCTTTGGTTGCTAAATTCTCCCCAATGTTCACCAGCTAGCTGCTAACTGTCTACCATTTGGTGCTGAGCAGGCATTGTACAGTGGGTTTTTTCACTGTAAAAAGAGTTCTTCAGGTGATACTTGTGCTTGCGTTTGTTACTACTTTCACATTACCTGCAGTCATATAAAAATGCTGATTATAGATAACAAAGACTTTTTCACGCTTTTAAGATTCTAAGAGTTCTTTCCATGACATTCTTAAACTTTCTGTGAATATTAACAGTTTGCATGAAGAAAATGTATTCAGCCAAAACTTTCCTATCACACTGTTTGGTTTATTAGCAAAAAGATACTATCTAACTCCATGTGGTATGATTAGGAACTAGATTTAGGTGTAGAGTGACACGGCAGTTGAAATTAATTAAACTGAATCAAATGAATCCTTCTCCCAGAGAAACAAACTATTTTCTTCTATTATCCTGCTTTATCTGTTGCATTGTTTTAAGAACATTTTATTTAATTAATAACTTTTGGTCACAATATTGCTGACACTGTAAATGTATGGTTGAAAAAGACCTCTTGAGATTGCATTGCTTTTAGAGTATGCATTTTTTCCGGGTGGATGTGAAAAGCGGAGAAATATTGATCTTGAAACAAGCATTTTTCAAGTGGAGAATGCTTTCTTTATAAAGTCACCAAAACTAATTCTTACACTCCTCAGTGTGGGATTTTGGCTGAAAGGACACCACAGCAATAAAGAGCAATTGAACTGATGTATGGTGACGCATGGAGAAAGCAAAGAAAGAAAAGCAATTGAGATTCTGCAGGGGAGAGCTGAACAATATTTACCTAGGCTGCCCCGAGCAAGCCTGTGGGCACAACACAGCTGACACCACGAGTGAATGATGCCCACTCCAGTCTCTGGTGGTGATCAAAAGGAAATTTTAAAATCTGGTTTGTTCTCTCTTGAACATTTGGACATTTTCTGTTTAATAAAATATCCACGGGTATTGGAAACTCTTCTCTTGGACACTTTAAACCATCTAATTAAAATATTTGTGATAAAGGTTCTAAGTTTGTAACATGTCTGCGTCTGTTTTTGCTGAAACATGTGAAGAAAAGAAGTGGTGTGTATTTACAGTAAGAGAAAGTGTCCATGGTGCAGTGAGGGCGGGAAACTCCCACTCCAACTTGTTCATTAGTTTGATGGTCTCTTCATCCGTGAGGGCGATTTACATGTGATCTTAGCTCGTAGATATAGATTTATTCACAGCTGCTGGTGCCTGTAAATGACTGCATCCATGTAAGGAGGTCAAAATACAACAGAGCTCCATCCTCACATCGTAGATGATCTCTCAATTCACAAGCCTGTCCAGCTCACCAAGCTAATGGCACTGTGCTTTAGAGAAGCGACAGTTTTTCTGCTCATTGACTATGGATGAGCATCTGGTCAGTGTGGATGTGTGATCTGATCACTGTGCTCCTCCTGAGAGTGTTTCTCTTTTTCCCTAAGCACATAGTTAAACATGTAGATACACAGTCACGTTCTGCACCCACATATGCCTATATGGTAGCATACAAATGCAACTTTAGCCTATATGACAATGACTGGAGCTCTTGTAAACATAAATGAGCCTATCAACTGCAAAATGGGCTTGTGAAGAGGCATTACACTGATTATTCATAGATTTACACTGGTTAATTTTTCACACTCATTCAGAAATTGTAACAAAAAGGATATCAGCATCACTCTGGAAGCCGATTTATCTGATGGACTTGGGCATGTGATTATATACCTAGGTGATTTAATGGGACACACCTGCTTGCAAATTTTCATTAGGACATACACATAATTGGATCTGCAGTGAGTCTATAAACTGGGAAAATGCAGATTTGAATATCATGCCTTTAGATGCTGTTAAAAGTATGCACTAGTGGAAATGCATTGGTGTTGAGGTACTTGTACTTCACTTGAGTTTTTGTACTTCTTCTCCACTACAATAGCTGTACTTACAACAGCTATACTAAATAGGTACTTTGCAGATTATGATTTTATATATAAAACTTACATGCACTATGATGCATTAAGATTCAACTACTGAGCAGTTTATAAAATGATTTGCTAAAATCAACTCTGCCTCAAGCATATGCATTAAAATTCTGCATCCATGTTAATGCAGTCATTAAATAACAATCTAATATTGTACAATTATATTTTGCTGACAATCAGTGCAGTAAGAAGTATTCACATCATACCACACTATACTGTTTTATCAATACTAGACTTACATTCACATGTTTACTTAAGTAAAAGTACAGAATTATTATCAGCAAAATGTATCAAAAGTAAAAGTACATGATTGGCAGAATAAGTCCTGTTTGTGTGTATTATTTGACCATTATTGCTAATGGATTCATGTGTAAACTTAAATTTGTAGCTGGTTTAGGTGAAGTTTTTACTCAAATGCAGTGTAGTAGATGTTAAAAATAATATAAAATGGAAGCACTTAAGTAAAGGTCAAGTACCTCAGAATCCACCTTAAGTTAAGCACCTTTGTAAATGTACTTAGTTACTTTTCATCATTGAAGTATTAATTGAACTGTCTCTAACAGTAGGAGTTGTTTATGAAACTTTGATAAAAGTTGTCTGGAACAGAGTTGTGTGAGCTATGTCTAGTAGATGCATTGGTGTGTAATGATCAACTATAGTTTCTGTTTCCACCTTCTGTTTTTAATCAGCTCAAATGTAGTTTTTACGTTTGGTTGGATCTCATCCATTTCTTACAGTGAGCCATGCTTATTATTATACATAGCATATTTTATTCTTTTTTTATAGATGTAATGACCTTCATTCCACTAAGGAAGTGCAATTGAAATGAAAATTAGACTAATCTATTTCCCAAGCATAATTTAATGACTGAGTAACAAGCAAAACAGATTTTTCTTTACAGCTGAATCCATCATTATACAATATTATGTCTGTGTGAAGAATGGTCTGTGATTTATTCGTCTTCCTATCATTTATCTGAGTTAATTTTATCTAAAGCTGGACAGAGGTCATTTTGTACTGTCAATGAGTTACATAATCAAATTTCTGTTTTCTGCTGTTCTTCACAGTATGACTAATTAGCTCTGGACATCCTCAGATGTGTAATGTCTGGAAAATCGCCCTTTTCTAGAGCATTTCCACCTCGATAGGCACAATCAAGACAAAATGAAGTGCCACAGAGCAGCCTGGTAAACAGCCAGACAACAAAATCATAGCTCAGAGGAAAAGGTAAAGGCTTTGACGTTAAGTGAGCAGAGGAAGGAGTACATACGTTAACCTGGTAAATTAACATTTTTAAGTTTCTTTTACCCTGAACTCTTGCCCTCTTGTAAGTTGCTTCAAAATAGAAGCTACTCACACTCACATTTAAGGTTTTAATAATTGATGAATGTTGGTTAAACCATCACAGTGGGCGACACATAAGCTACTGATGCATAATGACGGCTAAAATACCTCCGGGTGCTGAAATGTTGACAGAGCCAGCACATACACAACTGGAGTCCCACAGAAAATGTGATGCAGCATATGGAAAGAAATTCTGTACACATAGACACAGGTGTGATTTCAAAGAATTTATTATTTAGTAGTTGCAATATGAAGTTTTATCTTACCTTTATATTGGCAATAATATGTGTCCCCTGATGTCAGCATCCCTGCATTCCCAGATTTTTGTTTTACATTTTAATAAATCAGTTCATGATGAAAGAAAGTCCGTAGTCCAAAATTGACATGTGATTACATTTGGTCACCCATGCGTATGCCAATGCAAACACTGCACCAAAGGGTAGAAATAGTTAAAATTGTATAGTTGTAAACATACAACTCAAATGTGCATTCAAATACACAAATAATCAGTACAAGTGATAAGCAAATATAGTGTATCAACCTGACTTGTGTGCCAGAGTTTTGAGGAATTTTTTTTCACCCAATTCATGTTGATTGACCGTTCGCTAAGCCCCATGCCTACCAAGCTTTCGTTCTCACACAGCATGTATGCAGTTTACAGTGATAACAGGTAATTTATCACTCACATTTCTCAGTAAGTTTAGAAACAATGGGTTGTTGATTTCAGACAGAGGTAGACAAAAGCAGGTTTCTCATTTCTAGCCAGTAACCGTCGATTTTGTACATAAGATACAAAACTTTAGCTCCATGAAAACTCTGTCTAACTCTTTTTAAAACTACACACTTGGTGGCTATATACTGTACATGATTGTGTGATAAAAGAAAAAATAGCTTTGTTCTCGTGTTGCTGTGTAGAGCTAGTCACTCAAGTGTGAAGGAAAGATGTGAGATCATCGCTGTTTTATTTTGTTCTTACATAACCCTGTTTGACTGCGTAGCTCACATACCAATTATTATTTTTACAAAATATATTTTCAGTTTTAAGATTATCATTATTAGAAGAGAAAAGGCTTTAGATTGAATACTAATGTGTTTGGGAAACATAACAATAGGTAGTAGGACTGGCTGGGGTTAATGGTATGTAACATTTCCCAAATCAAATAAAGAGCAGGCAACAGCTGCTAACATTAGCCTAAACTCTGACAGCTTCCATGCCCACACAGTGAAAAATTACTAACAGTGAATGTGTTAGTCATGAACTGGGCTTCTTTTTTAATGTAACCTGTACAAACAACTGTAAAGTAGGTAGTTAATTCCAAGCTCCTTGGCCTTGAAAGTCGCGTTTGGTTAGCGCTGCAGGTTGTAGACTTGTTAGTAGGACATGCTAACGTTTGCTTCAGAGCAGTCAAACACACAGTTTAATCATTTGCTCACATTTTTTTGCTCTTGTGTTTTTGAAAGTTAACAGAAAGACACTTCCATCCAAACTCTTTAAATGACTATCACTCTTGCTACAGCCCCATGTGCACCGCTTGAGTATTGAGGGAAAATCCAGAGCTTGACAGGCCTATGGTCACTATGCTTTGATTGGACAATCACTGTTTGGTGGAGGGGTTTAGTGAAAAGTCAATTCAGGTCAGTCTTATTTATGACTGCCTCTTTGGTGCTTGATTAATTGAAAATATTTGTTGTATGAGATATTCAGAAAGTCTTTGATGCAACTCCATGAACAGAAGTGAAAGAAACAAGCAAAAGGGCAGAAGTGTTAAAAGTCAGTAGGGGGCACAGATGGTGATCTATCAAAAAACGACTCACAGTATGAGCGGATGGATGGCTTATTGGTGTTGTCCTTCTATCTGTGGCAATGGACAACCTAGTAGAGAGCCTAAGTAAGTAAGTAAATGTAAAATACTGGACAAAATCTGCAAAAAAAAAATAAAACTTATATCACAGTAGTCTTTATGTATATACAATGCCCATCAAGCCTGATTCAATTTCAAAATGTTTTTTTAGTCTTAAAGGTAGACTGCAGAATTCAGCGGTCAGCATTCATTCTGCGCAGTTTGGGGGGAAGGTTGTCCTCCGGCCGACTCCCTACCAAAGGGATCTGGATTGGTGTTGGGGTTGGAGCAGAGATGGTGTTACTGGCTGCTGGCAGTCTGTGTTTCTCCAGCTCACCCTCCTCGGCATCTCCGTCCAAGGACAACAGCTGGACCTGTTCCTCTGGATGTCCCTGCCTTGCAGCTGGGATGGAGCTGGACCTCAGCCTCTGAATACTAAGTGGCAAGTCTCCTGTGCTGGAGGCTTTCCCCCCTGGCAATGCTGGCCCTGTCTTCAGCCCCCTCCAGAGGTGCTCCTCCTTGGTGGAGCTCATGCGTTGGAGTTTGCTGGGCAGTCTAGAGGGTTGGTCCTCTACGTGATCTGCATAGTCGGCTGACAGGAGTCTTTCCCTGCGGCCTCCACGGCCGCCATTGCCCAGCAGAGGAGAGGAGGGGTTGGGTGCAACAGGTAGAGGGTTGGGTGACGTCAGCGAGGACTTCTCCTCCTGCTCTTTGACGCTGTAGGGAGGTGTAGGGACCTCAAAGGTGTTGTGGAACTGGGAGTAGTCGACTCTGAAGAAGCCCTCTTCCAGTGACATGACAGGGAGGAAACGATGACCCCATAAGACTTCATCCTCAGTGTAAGATGTCCTCGCCTGACATGTCATACCTATGAATGAAAGAAGAGACATTACTGTCGAGGAATATTTCAAATACAGACAAGAAAAATACAAAAAGGAGATATTACTTCAGAAAGTGGGCTATTAAATAAAAATGGACAGAAAGCCAGACAGGGAACTGAAAAGAAAAGTGGTGAATTCCTTTCAGGGAAAAGAAGAAGAGCTTGTGCTATTGAATATTTAAAGACCATGAAATTAAATATTCTGTTAAATATTACTGAGAAATGGCCTAGGCCACAGGCTAAATGATGATGAAACAATGCTTATTCAGAGTTAAATATATATACACATACATATACATGTATGTATGTATATACAGATAGATAGATAGATAGATAGATAGATAGATAGATAGATAGATAAGTAGATACTAAACACACTATTGGTGTAAGAAAATATAATTAGCTCTAACCAGTGGTTTCCACAATGCCCTCTAGGATGACAACAATCTCAAACTGCTCATTCATGAGAGAGCGCTGCGACAGATCGAAGAATGGGCTCTTAGTGTTGATTTCATGGCAGATGGTTAGAGGCGACACCAAGAAGAGCTGGTCCGCCCCCGTCCCAAATCCCACGTCCAGTTCACACTGGTCCAGGGGCAGGAACTCACCCTCAGGTGTCTGCCGGGACTGGAAAAACAAACAAACAGGGCATTTACATTTTTACTTACGATTCAGGATAATTCTTTCAACTTTCTCCTCCACAGCGGGGTCAGAGCACAGGGTTATGAAAGCAAATAATAATCGTATTAGTAAGTGAATGCCTAATTGTGACATTTAACCACCGCTTAATTTTGAATTTAAATAGCACTTTATTTATAGCACTGAAATATTTCCATGCTTCTGTAGTAATGTGGTTTAAATTCCCCTCTTTGATTTTCCCAGCAGGTATCTTCAAGTGGTGCAGTTTCAAAGACTTAAGGGTTCACAAATTCAGATAGAAAATTGTGTTCATTTTTTTTCAATGTTAATTTTTCTAATAAATAAATAAATAAATACAAATCAGTTGCTTATAAGATTTAAATTATTATAGCTATTATTTGTTTTGACAGAAGGTCAACCTTTGCAAAGGGAAAATTATTCATTTGAGTAAAAAAAATATGAAGAGAATTTATAACAGAGGTGTAACTCACTTTGCTTCTGACCTCTCTGACCAGCGCTTAAAGGCACAATCATTATTGTCCTTTTTATGGATCAGTCGGTTCGGCTGTATAAAGCACAACCACTGGTGTCTGACAATATAGTGAATAAAGCAAGTGGTCCTGACAGACGGCAGGGATGAATATTATCAACAAGCCTGTGAATGGAGTCCCTCCAAAAATTCAAGGCCTTGTTTTTTATATCTTGCAGGGTTTTTATGACCCACAGGATTTGCTGGTGTGCAGTCTACGAGGCCTGCTTCGCCAGCAGGGAGAGATTTTATGTATCTTTGTTGTATAATTTGTGCCACTTTGATAGATATTTTTCATCCAGTACCCAATACAGATACGTGTGCATGTATGTTTTGCAGATGTTACCCTAATGGGAATGTAACTGAAGCAGTGTGCATGAAAATGACTTCAAGAAGGTAATTTTGTTCTGTGATTCGATATGGTTCCATGTGAAATGGGAGTGGGATGTTGGGTTGGGAGTTAAAGGAGCTATTTGTAAGTTTTGCTTTTGCTACATATCAACATTAACATTTTCAGCTGTTCACTTACTGGTCTAGAAAAATTGTTCAGCATCAAACTTGAACCTTTATTCGCCCAGAGCTTTCTCCACTGGTGGAAAGCAATAATGTTAACTCTTGTTTTACTTCTATTTCCATCACCTCTTTTCTTCTACTGAAGTTAGCATGCTAATCAGCTAGCCCCGGTTTGACTGGAAAAACTCTGATTTTCTGATACCGAGTCAGAGGTCAATGAAAACACCACAATGGCTCTTGGCAAGGCTCTTAAGTAAACAGCTGTTAATGCTAACGTTGGCTATGTAGCAATTGCAAAACTTATAAATAACTCTTTTAGGCGGGAGTTGATTTTAGGGCCGAAAAGCAGGCGGGACAAAGCCTATAAACTGGAAGTGATCATAGCTGTTAAGGATTTCTTATATCATCCCCACGTAGAGAGGAAGGGGATCAAGAAGTAGAAGGAGACGTTTTTATCTTTGGTCTTAGGATTTCATGTTGATGTGATGGCACCCAAACACACTCCTGTGACAGCTGCTTAAGTGTGATTTTTTTAGAGTTTGCTGACACACCTGCATGTTTTGTAAAATGAGAAGAGGTGGTTGAATCTCCCCAAAAATCTATTTTTTCTCTCAGCTCAGGATGAGTCAACAAAACTGTTTTTTGTTTTTTCTTGCAGAGGCAGGGGTAGATTTTGATTTGAAAAGGAACATTTGGACATATTTTTGGCATTTAGTGATAGAGAGCGGAACAATACACCCAGGGGAGGAACAACACTTCACAGGACCTTGATGTTGTTCTCTGTGCACTGACTGGTGAACATGCTGGGTAAAGGAAAGAGCAAGGGTGTGAAAAACAGTGGCCTCCCGCTTCCCTCACATCTCTGTCAGACAACATGAGCATGGTTACGATTTATATTTTAAGACACTTTGACCTAATCATTTATTCTGTACACGCCTCCTCATTGCCAGAACATTAGAGTACTTAAAAACTCTCTGTAGAAGCCTGTCCTCAAAGGCAAGTATCATTAGATTAAGGAGAAGACACTAGTGCTCGCTCTTCAGAAACCAAGCTCAATCAAATAAAGTAGCTGTTAAATTAAAACATGGAATTAGAAAGGAAGCTCAAGGAAGTGGAAAAAAGGAAACTTAGAGCTTATAAATTCTCTTGTCCTGTCAAATGCAAACCTCTTAATCCAGTTGATATGTCAAGAATGAATGATTAACAAAGAAAAATGTGTTTGTTTCAATCAGACGGCGCTGAAACCTATATGAATTCCACTATCAGTACGAGTGAATAAAAAGCATAAAAAAGAGAGAAAATTAAATCCTCTGTCCCAGTAGATAAAATTTATTACCTTAACTAAGTTATATTCCTAAATGGCTCAATTCTAATAGTTCTCCCTGTCGCCTCATGTTAACTTGAATGCAGAGTAGTCTCTCTGGCCCTTTGAGTGAGGAGCCACTTGGTCCACAGATGGCAAACAGACTGCCATTTGTATTCAGAGTGATGTTGAGGACAGAGGGATGTGACATTTCACAGGAAGACGTCTGTGCCCACAGATCTCTGGCTTGCCTCGGTGAGGGAACGTGTCACCCATCATGCTGTATCAATGATGGGTGCTCCCGAAATACGCAGCCAGGGAGCCTATGCCTCATGGCCACTGAAGTTAAATCAGGATAAACACTGTTGAAAAGTGTGGACGCCTGACAAAAAAAAATTTAAAATAAAGAGAAGAAAGACTGTAAAAAGCCACACCACCTGCCTGTGCTTTAAAGTACATGTCTTCAGGGTATTCTTGTCATTTTGTTGCTACTGTTATTCCTTACATTGATATGTGAAATGTCTGTAGATTTTCCAGTTGATGCTCCTTTAGGTAGTTCAGATTTCCCTTTCATATTTTCATGCAATTGTACTTTTGTACAGTGAAATGCAACCCAGTGTTGCAGTTATTATTTAAATATTAATTCATCAGCTTGTTGGCCCCATCCTGCAGCAGTGTCCAAAACAGGCAAAATTCTGAATTTAATACCATTTAAATACAAGTGTGATAATTTTCCAATTGATTTTTCCATATTGCTGTTAATCTCTGCTTCAGGAAAAGCTTCCTCCTTCTACTATAAGTGAGAGAAGCACATTAAATCATTTTTAAAAGCCTGCCGTGTCTTTATATTAATTCATTTCTTTCCCCCAATCATTTAAAAATGTAAATTGTCATTGAGATGCTGCAGGCACGTGTTGCGTTTGTCAGCAATGCTCCTACAAGTCAGTGAGATTGGAAACCAATTTCCTGGTAAGTCATATTTAGGCCATTCGTTCATGGCTCCATTGACTACCACCATGGTGTTACAACAAAATTATACCTCTTCCAAGGAAGGAGAAACCTGCTCGACACTGAACACTGAATGGTTTTAACAGAGTGAAAGCCTTGTTTGTTCTCCTTCTGCCACTAACCAGTCACTGCCACAAGGGGAAAGTTAATGGCCTTTGTAAGAGGACCTGATATAGAGGGAGTGCTTAATTTACCAAGCCACCTGAGATTCTGGTTGAGTGAAAGCAGGCCCAATCCCTGGTGACTCACTTCCTCCTCAGTTGACAGTGTGTGTGTGCGCCCGCGTGCAGGTGTGTATGAGAGAGAGATGCAAAGAAACACAAACAGCGACAGCCAAAGTTATACAAGTGTGTATGTGTGTGTGTGTGCACGCGCGCGCATGCGCACACATGTCCTTGTATGTTTGTGTGTCTTTAATGCAACCATGCATGTGCAATGTGTGTGTGCTTATGCCCGTGTGTGTCCAGCTGGAGACTTTGAAGCTTAAGCTGGACATCAGACATAAAGCTCACACAGACGTCACATTTGAGCTCTACCATATTACCAATCTTTTGACAGCACCATTAAAGCTAATTCATCTGTCCCTTCACCTCCTTCTTCTCCTCTTTCTGCTTGTCCTTCAGAGTTAGACAGTGGCAGATGTTGCGAGTCATGCTGACAAGTCTGCCTGCCTGTCTAGCTAAACCCCTGCATCCATGCCTGTCTATCTGCTACTACTAGCCCTTATCACTTGTCTCCCGCTGTGGACCAACCTACTGCGACGAGCTTCTGCTGACACTGACGAGCACCGCCCAGCTGTCACTCTCTCCCTCTGCTTCTCTGTCTTTTTGTTGGCTCCGGTTTTCCATATTGCTGCTGCTGCTTGCTTTCTCTCTTGTCTGAGCACTTTTTTTTGTCTTGTTAGAGTGTGGGTGGGTTTCCTCTGCCGCGCTGCCCCCCACACCAGATGCAAACATGTTTCCCTGTTTTAAAATCATATTCTGCTAGTGCTGCAGGGGTCAGTGCACCACTACATTCTATTGGTTTATTAATGAAAGGTGCATTAATATTAATGGGAATTCAAGGTTATCTTTTTAAGTTAATATGCATTATGGTTATAGAGAAATGTGAGAGTCCTGCCAAGGGATAATGTTTCAAAATAAAACTGTATGTAAGTCAAAAAATTGTGTAACAAGTCTAGGCACTTGCAACTTCGTTACCCTTGACACAAAATGTGTGTTTAACTGCATTAAAAATAATTTCTACTCACATTCAGAAACAGGGTCCCTGTTCCTTTGACTACTACCTTGTTTTGACAAAAAGTACCTTTATTTATTTATTCTTTTTAACAAGATCCCTCCTGGCAGGTATGAATTACTAGAAAGATCTTGCATTCCAGCAAGGTTTCGTGACGGTTGTGTGGGATCACACTTGTACATGTTATAGAGTTGTGAGGAACTATTGACATTGACAATCTTGACAGTTGTGTTAGATATGTAAAATATCTGGTTCTTTAAAAAAAAAAGAGAAAAAAAAAAGTTCAAGGTACAAGGCTTGGTGCATAAAAGTTTCTGACATGTGTGATGCCATCGATTGAGGAAAGCTAAAGAATCTGTTGAGAAAACAGCACAACTGCAGCTTTAATCAATTCACTTTTGGATTCTCGTCAAATTGGATAAATTCAGCAATTATGGCAGCGTTTTTTCTTCACGGATTCAACAACAAAGCATTGAATTTGAATTTGCTACCGCTCAGATTCATACATCTGACTTTCTCCATAGTAACAGTGGCCAAGGCTCATGTGTATTGTAGTATTCGTACTGGACCAAATTGATGATTTCTCAGAAACAAAGTTCAAATATATAAAACTGGGTACCATAATATAAACCAATGTGGTTGTTACACCATTCATGAGAGTACAGTGCTTCCATATTAAGTGACAGTGAGGATACTGTTTGTAATGGGAATTAAGACTGGAGAAAAACACTTCCAGAACCAGCAGCTGCTCCAACTTCACTCTACTCTCAGACCTTCAACTGGTAAAAGTCATGTGAGCAAACAGCCCCGGTATCACATGTAAACACAGTGGGGGAAAAACCCCACCAATCACAAGATAACAGCAGAACCTTGTGATTGGTGGATTTTTTTGTCTTATAAAATATTTCGAGCAACAATCTTTTGGAAAACTACTAATAATAACAACTTATAATAAGGTTGACACTAATGATAGCCAATGGAAAAATAATGCCTATGGTCTCTCACTGCCTCCTGGATAAGTATATACAGTTGTGAACAAAATAAAGTTGAAAAGAGTTAAAATGCACCAGTATAATGTGCTTGAGTTGCTTATTACGTACATGCCATCTATTTTATGCAAGCTGCTGTTTTAAAATTTGCAAAAGATAGCTGCATCCCTGCTTGATGATTTGTAAACAACACAAGTGCTGATCAAGAACCTGACAAACTTTAATTTTTGCCAAAATCCAGAGTATCCAGGTCCCATAAGAATTTACAGCCCACGCCTATCCCTGAGTATCCCTGACAATTGATAGCAGGTGCCATGCCACAGTGCGTTTACACAGCTCCATCATTAGGATTTACTGCAGCATGCCTCATTTCTCCAGTCAGCTTTATGGGCAACCCATCTGACAGTGACCTTGAGCTGTGTGTTACCTGAACACGAGCCACGGTGTTGTTTCTACAGTGCAGGTATAGTACTACCGGGTGATGTAGAGTCAATTTATTCTACAGTACCCCATTATACACTGTACAGTCTGACACCACGATGGCATAGTTTTATGGGCTCTACAATGTCAATTTTAATATAGATTAAAAGATATATTGGAATGCTCCATTCAGCGGCAATGCTACAGTGGTATCCTGCACATTTAATCAACAATCCAAATATGACAAATCACTACATCTGTTTCAAGATATTATCCTGCAGCGAACATCAGAAACTGCAGTGGATAAAAGTGAACTCGGAGAGCATGTTTTGGTTGGTTACTGTTTGTCCTCTGGGCATGACTGATGCCACTGAATTTGATGCTCCTTAGCAGCCAATTAGGAAAGTCCTGGATGTCTGACCTTCGACCAACACATGAATAGCTCTGGCTTAAAAGATAATTTAATGCTCATTTAAAAGATCATTATTTACTGGCAGAAATCCCAGATCAGGATCATCACCTAAATCGAATCAATTGATCTCTGATAGAAAGCCAAGGACTGAAAATAAAATAAAAAAAGATGGGTGAAAGCACTTCAAACAGTAAATGTTCCCACTGTATTTAGGTTTGCAGTAATTATGTTACACTCAGGCCGGTTCATTAAAAAAGACCTTAGAGATAAAGATTAGGTGATGTACTCTGCTGGTTCTGCTTAATGTGTCTGATATGCAGCAGTATTGTAGCAGTTGTTGCAGCATGTTCTGCTTTAAAAGTTATGAATGAGAGCTGATTAGGTGCAAATCAAATTTCAGCTCAAAGTAGTTGTACTGTGTTACGGTATCAAACAGAGAACATAATTTAAACTATCCCAACAATTCTTCTTTAATAATAAATCTGAAGTGGTCCCATGTGCCTTAAAAAAGAGGTAATTCTACTGAGGCAACATCATGTGCAGACAAATCTGACCGAGCTCAAACATGACAGCGTGCCCCATGGGTGGACATCCAACTGCTTTCAGTCGTTTTGAATTAATAGGATGAAAGCAGTAGAAGTTACAGAAAACTATAACAGAATATTAAATTGCCTGAATGAAACTACTGTTCTATGTGGCAGGAGAAAAGTTGATGATATTGCATTTCTGCCTTGCTGTTAATTGCAAGGCAGAACATATTTTTTCTTTGCCTTTCTGGGCTATTAATTAAAAAGCAAATGATAATGAAATGAAATGAAAATCGTCCTAGAGAGGGCTGAAACATTAGAGATAATAAGTTATTTAATCACAGCTTTTAATGTGTTAAACTGAGTCACTTTTATTTCTCTGCTGGGTACCATTTCAGTTTATTTTCATCCTAATCAAAAGAAAAAATGTCCGACACTGGACAGAAAATGATACTTTAAATGAAATTATATGCTTGGATAAAATCAGGGTGCAGCACAAAGCATTAAGTGTGACCATATTAATGCAGTCATGGTGATACTAACATAGGCCTACTGGGAGCTTAATGATGGCTCTCCCTTGAGAACCACCAGAGAGCAAGAACCCTGCAAAGTAAAGTGACATCTTGAGATCATCAGACTACTCCGCAGAGACGACATAAGCAAAACTAAGTCTCCCTGTCACAACAGAGCTTTCAGATATCTACCAGTGTTTGGACTGTGTGTATGAGATGTGTTGAAGTCTGCTTGAGAAAGTGAATGCAGGACTTCTTCATAAAAAAAAGGTTATATGTATGTATAGGTGTATATATACTATCTTATGGAGCACCCAGCGCTTCAGATTAGTGGTATTTTTGTCTTTAGGTGAGAGTAGCCTCAGGAAACACAGTCTTTACCTCATTTTTGCCCACTAAGTATAAGAATTGGTTCAATAGATCTTTTATTCAATAAGCGTAGTTTTGCACCTACTGTCCCTTGGGGGACCATTCATCTCATCTGTGGACAGTTGAAGCAGAGCCTTAACTCAGATATACAGCCTATTGACAGCGATTCTGCTGACTGGAGAGGGGGGGGGGGGTTAGTTTGTGATGACCCTGAGTGTACCAGGCAACAGACTCAGCAGCTCAGAGATTAAGAGGGAGGAGAGCAGAAAGAAACAGAAGACTCCTGATAAATCCCACAGTGCTGCAGGGGGTAAATGTAAATGGTCACTTATTAAAATACATCCGATGTTGGAGCCTCATGTTAAAACCATGGCCTCTCTACAAATCACAGAGACCCTCCGGGAATGCAATCAATTCCGGAGATGAATGGGAATTCAATGCATGACTTGGAAAGCACTCATAAAACATAATGAGCAATTTCAGAACAAATGAAGAGACTGTCAATTAGTCGCAGCCTTGATAATGGCATTTGTAGAGTTGAGATGAAGAAGGAGGCAGATGCTCACTGCGCCAAAGTGCGCCTACTTGTTTAATGGTTTTGGAGACAATGAGCTCCTCCGCTGTATAACCTGTAGCCTACCTTGATGAGTTTGCACCTGATCTGCGCGGACACCATATGGCTGTTCCGCAGGTTCCCCACTCGGAACATGAGACACAACTTCCCGTCCCGCTGCGAAATCACCGCGTCCTGGCTGAACATCAGCGTCTCCGCGCGCTTCTTGGGCTGCGACATCTTGATGAACATGCAGCCGATGAGGAACGCGTCCACGATGGACCCCAGCAGCGACTGAAAGAGGAAGAGGATGATACCTTCCGGGCACTTCTCCGTGATGTAGCGGTAGCCGTAGCCGATGGTCGCCTCTGTCTCGATGAAAAACAGGAACGCGGAGGGAAAGTTGTACACGTTGGCGACGCACGGGGTGTAGGACGAGTCGTGGCCGCCGTGGCTCAGGTCGCCGCGGATGTAAGCGATCACCCACCACATTGAAGCCATGACAAGCCATGCAACTGTGTAAGTGAGGATGAAGATGAGCAGGTTCCAGCGCCACTTCAGATCCACCAGCGTGGTGAAGAGGTCGGAGATGTACCGGCTGGTCTCTCCGCCAAGGTTACCGTGCTGGACGTTACAGCGGCCGTTCTTCTCCACAAACCGCTGCCTCTTTCTCTTCACCGGGGCGGAAAAAGTCATGCCCCGGTTGGTGTTTACCACCTGGTAGTCCTCTCCAAATTTCCTCCTTATGGCTGACATGGTATCAATCTCCTACTTGTGACAGGCAATCAATACACGTGCAGAATTAGGCTCTTTACGCAAGTTTGGTACCCCCCTGGCCAAAACCATGCAATAACATTCAGCGCGCCACTCGCATCCTGTGAGATGGAGATGCGCTCCTCTCGTGTAAATGAATCCTAAATGAGCAGAGATTCTGCGCAATACATGATTCAGACTCGGTCCTTTACTCAAATGAGTCTCCTGCATCTGCCAACTTTTTGTTCAGGTGTCATCCATGCATGAAAAAAAAGAAACTCATTCAAAAACACATTTTACACAAAAGCTGATTTCAAAGGTCCGTCCTTGGTCGATCCACTGAGTTGCTGCTATTCAGTAACCCTTTAAATGTGAATGGCAGGCTACAGTGCGCACTTCTGCCTGAGGGAACACGCTCTGGTAGGAGTGACTTCAAATTAAAGACTGTGGAGGAACTGCAGCACGGGTGGCAATTTTCTCTTTCACAGAAGGGTGGGGGACCTGATGTGGGCTTATAGATAGGGAAATGTTTTTTTTTGGCCTGTATCCAATCAGGTAAAAGCATCAGAGCGAGCAAACAATGTCACAATGAAATCAACCGTGAGCAATTTCTTTTCATTTTATTATTTTCCCCCACATTACTTTGAAATTTGTTTCCTGTCGCCTTATTATCTCTATCTTGAGGAAAACGCTGTATTATAAAATTGGTTTTTCGAGGTACTCGTGGTGATTGGCGGCTATTTGGTTCCCCCTAGTGTAACTGCAGTGGAAGTAAACCTGAGCGATGCCAGTAACTGTAGATGATCAGCACTACAGTATATGCACAGGGGAATACTCAGTTTATAGTTTCAGACAGCCTGTGAAGGGATGTCTCAACAAAACTACATGTTTATTGGAATATTAAAGGGGTTGTTCAAGAAATATAGTAGGCTTACCATAGCCTATAAGCATTCTTCACCCCAGTCCCTATATTATCACATTAATATTAATATATATATTTGTTGTCAAAGCAATTTAAACAATTGGAGCATGGAATCATTGCTGTGATTTTCTGTGGATGAGTACATTTCTAATGAGGGCAATGATGTCATCAACACTGTATCTGTAGTGTGTATTTTTTTTCAATAGACCAGTTGTAAGGTTGTGTGATGTCTCTGTAAAAGTAGGTAAAGAGTATCAAGTTGTAATGCTTTGAGAATTTTACAATATTGTGATTTCCTCTCTAATTACTTCATCACTGTCAGTGATATATCACATCTCCCACTTTGTAGAACATCCTGTTTACCTCACTGTTATAATTAACTGAGTACAAAGGGCTATGAGGCTGATGAGGAGTACAGAAAGAAGGAAACATGCAGTTGGACAGTTGGTCCCAGGCCAGCAGGAAATTAAGTGCTGAACACAATGAGTTTTTCAGTATTAGGTTTGAGGACTGCTTATACAAAATAAATTGCAATGAAAACAGCACGTTAAAGTAATTTTACTGGTTAGAGGTTTTGAATTTGGACATAATTTGTTTATTTGATCTTTATTTGATCGGGCTGTCTCATTGAGATTAAGAGAGACCTGAGAACAAGAAATGATCACGAAAAGACAATCAACAACTACACAACACAATAATGATGATTTTCATATCAGCAGAGGACATGGAATTGAACTCTGGGCACAAAGGGACAATTCACACGGCATGACATCACTTTAGCTGCTAAACTTCTTATAAACAATGACGCTCTTTCACATCCACACAACTCTCAATTATCATTTATGAAATGCAACTGTCAAAACATCAATTTCAGTTTTTATTCAGCTGTTCCATGTTCATGAAGAGTATGTTAAACACATGAATGTGAATATGGAAGACAAAAAAAATCAGACAGATGTAGCCTAATGTAACCGGTAACACCAACAGCATAATCTCACTGATAGAAAAAAACTCAGCATTCTAAACTTCACAAAGATAAGACTCTAAATGTCTATTTAGTTACACAGGTCTTTAACCTTTTCACAGTAAGTAAGTATGTGGCTTTAAATTGGTTGATCATTATTATCAGAAACACTATAACTCACCTAACACAAATGTCTTTATCGTATCATTAGTCATACAGCGGGGAAGTGATATGCCGAGTCAATTAAAATGAAATTCAACAAGATTATAATAATATCATAATTTGTCACGTTGAACTGTTAAGTGAGCACTTTATTGCTTTAAGATCCCCCGAAACAAAATTGTGATATTTGATACATTAATTGGATACCTGGCAATTAAACTGATGATGAAAACCATGTTTGTTTCTTCAGTCAATGATTAAAGATGTGTTGTTTTGCATTGTGACTGTTTTTGCTGTTGACTCTTGACTCTGTCCTCAGGAAACAATGCTAAATGAGCTCGAAGTGCAGTAAAAAAAAAAATCCAAACACTGTCTTATATTCTTCTAATACTTGCTGATATTAAATATTAAATGAAAAATGCATCACTGGGAAAAGAAAAGCTTTCAAGAATTATTATGCAAGCAATCAAAATAACCAGTTCTACTCAAACACAGATATAGTGCCTCAACATTTCAAAGGAAAGGACACTCTGATTACATGAGTCCATCTCACACCAACAGAATCTTTTCTGCTCGATCTAAGGAATAACATAACAAAGTTCTATGAACACAGACTCACCATTTACTGTAATAAAAATCTGAACTGGTGATAAAACTGTCACATTTAAGGGCACTACTTCATGCATGCTTTTGTCATGGCTGGATTAACATATTAGGGGGCCAAAGGGCAAAAACTGGGTATATATTGACCCCCACCATCACCTTTTATTTAGAGGTATGCACAGAGGACAATATAAACAAATACAATAAAAAGTATAAAAAGAGATTTGACACAAAAGGTCCCTCTGCAACGCAGGTCCACAATGTAAGACCCAACTAAGTTGATATTGCACTTCTGTGGTGCAAATTCCCTTATGAAATTTGTGATGACTTCAAACTACACATTCACAGCAACAGGCAGTGTGCTTATGCAGTTTCCATCTAAAAACAAACCTGAGGACAATTTAGACTATTCATTATCCATAGTTACTGTTCAGTCAATTAAGTCTGTCATCCAGATAAACCTCAAGAAAAATAAACCTAATCTCAACTATTAAAAGGTGTTAACTTTAAATTTGAAAAATGTTGGCACACTGACCTTCTGCAAGGTTAAGTAATAATACTTAGGGTTAGAGTTAGTTAATTTTTTAGTTAATTAGATTATGAAAATCTGTTTTGGAAGGGGAGCCCAGGGGCTGGTTATCGAGCCATGATAATATTTGGTGTTTCCTTCATTCATGCTGCTAACTCAAATTCTAGCAGCACAATCCAAGGCCTCATGTTGGTTGACCTGATAGAAATGATCTAACTGACATAGAAATGTGAAATAAATCTGTGCAAGCCTCATTAGGATTGAATGAGGCAATATGGTGAGACAGACTTGAATAAACATGAATATATCATGCAATCCTATTTAGCAAATGCAGTCTAAATAAACAGCAGTGAGTTCAGTGTTCTCAGTACCTTTCAAAACGTTTTAGCAAACAAGGTCAAATTCGTGGCAAGCCTATTGTATTGCACTATACTGCATGCTCACGTTAATGCGTCCACCTCAGGTCCACCTCCTTTAAGTGTGTTTACATCACTGTCCAGTAAGACTTGCTCAAACCTCGGCAGCCTTCGCCTGTCTCCTCTCACGACCCGTCCGCTACACCCATAATTCCCCGCGCCAGGACAAGATGGAAGAAAGCAGCGACCGCCGGAGAACAATGTTTTGGCAATAAAACCCCAAAGCGGCGAATACAGAGACAATACAGGCACGTTTGAAACCAACTGCGGTCATGTGTAGGTGAGTGGGAAACTAAATTGACTTTTTATTTTTGGCGAGCGCTCGGCCTTTGTCGAGATTTAGGCGACGGAGACGTCTGGCTCGGCGCAAACGGGAGATGCAGTGAGAGCCAGCATCATTGTTTCTGTTGCATGGGCCGTAATGCGGGTTTTCAGACGGGGCAGCTAGCAGCTAACTAGCTAGCTAGCTCGTGGCAGCTTGATTGTTATAAACACAGTCGCCTCGAAGCCTACAGTTTTATTTAGCTTGGCCACAGGATCTGGAGTCAACATGTACCGTAAGCGCCGAGGAATGTTTTTCTAGCTCTGTGTGCTGGTGAGCATTATCCCGTTGTAATTACAGCTAAAGTTAGCTATCAATAAATAGAGCGCCAGCGTTGCTCGCAGCCAGACAGATTTGATTTCACGAGCGTCATCAAAGCTTGGGAACTGGAGAATGAGCAATTCATGCCGCTGACCTGACTTCAAAGCAAACTGGCTGTTTAATTTCATCTTATCGACGGCTATTACACTCCTTTCTGACGATTTCATGCTATTTGGGTTAAGCTTGCTTCCACCACATTGTATCGCCGTTTAAATAGTCACTATATGAGTTAATAGCATCAAATCATGGATCCTTGTTTTAGCGTTAGCTAGCTTGATAGCAACACTGGGTTACGTTAGATTGGCCATAACGGATCAAATTATAAATGTATTGACTGCAAACGGCTAATTTCAGCTCCAATAAGTTTGAGTGTTGATCTGACTTTATTTGAACGCGTGATTATGGTTTGTGGGACATCTTGCATGATTGTTTTGATTGAAGACTTAAAGATAACGCTGATTGTGTCTCATTGTGGCTAGCCTGCTAGCTAACTATGCTAACTATTATGCATCACAAAAGCTCATCCGCTTTCTGTTGAATTCAGTGTCGCGCAGCCAAATGGTCGGTTGGTCTAGACTAAACAATAAATTCTCACTCCAGTCATTCTGCTGTACTCGTTTCGATGCACGTCCCGCTTAGTCATCCGACTGCGCCTGCCTAAAATCACTGAAATGTCTCGCTGGATTTGACCTAAATATTGTTTGTTTTAGGCAAGTGTAGTGAACCGATTCATTTGCCAGTATTGGAACCAATGACGCTAGTTTTTGCATTCATTTGGGGTTATTAGCCAAAGATAGCAAGTACTGTTGTCTAGCATGATTCAAAGGGTAAAAACAATAGTGATCTTTAGTAGAGATTTTATTTTGGCTACTATCCAAGTCACATGTGGTGCAAAATGTCGCAGGTAAAAACAAAACAGTATGTAGATTAAATAATACAGAGACAATCTTTTTCTAATAGAACAAATTTGACTGAAACATTTCTCTTCTGAAACTTCACTTATTTGATGGTGTGCAGGGATTCACAATTCACAATTTTTACTGTAAAGTCACTTAATTAAACCCTCATACCCCATAGATCACTGACACCATTCATCCCTAATGTATGTTTCTCTGTACCTTTTTTAACCAACACCTAGGTATACATGAACCACATTACTTTATCTTCTCTTACAATTTTCTTTTAATTAATCTTTTCTATTTGATGCATGCTATAGAGAAGTATTTTCACTTTCAAGCTCAGATGGCTGACCTCAGCCTTTTCAGTTTGGTAAAGAGGTGGTAATGGTTGCGTCTCTTTCACATATTTGTGAGATACTGATTTTTCTAGCGTGTAAGCTTTGGAAGGTTACTTGAGTAAGCTGTGCCAAAACCTTTGGGTGGAAGGGTTAAGATAAAGACTTGAGAAGTCTAGTAATAGCCTTGATTTTGTTGATAATGTGTACAGTACATTGAGTGGATCAGTGTTATCTCTTCTACACTGATACATAAATCACAATTAATTATTACCAGTATTTATTTATTTATTCCACTGTTAAATTTTTTTAATATGCTCTGCCATATTTCAGCAAACCTGTACAAAGTAAAGAATTTATTTCAGTTTAGAGGTATCTCCTGTTTTTTTTCCCCCAACAGTGTAAATTAAATGTATTTTGTGCAAAATATTCATTAAGGCTTCCAGTAACGTAACCCAGTGCTAAGCCCAATAAATCCAATCAAGTAATTAATGGTTGACTGAGGGGAAATTCTGAGAACAGTGTAGTGCATGCAGTACACACTGTGAAGGCTATGTAGCAGTGACTAAATTTACTTAACTGGCAATACTTGTAAGAGATTTTATAGCAAAGACAACATGTGACAATTACTTGGGATTTTATATATTTATTCATGTCTGTAATCATCAATACTTAACATGACATTTTAAATCTTCCCTCTCTTTCAGGATGTTCTCCTCCTGCATTCCTCTTTAGATTTATTGCCCTCCTTCTCCCCTGCACAAAGCAAAAGCACCACCATGAGTATTATCCAAGACAAATTAGGCAATGAGTTTTTGCGCAACGGTGGCATGGACCCCAATTTTGCACCAGGTATGCTTATGTTCAGCCACCTGCCACCCGTCACCAGTTTTACACGGCTGGCCTCCCAGTCCGTCATGGGCGAGCTTCCCCAGGAGATGATCCTGAAGAAAGAACGTGACTCACCCCCAGAACACCAGGGCGCCACTGCTGCGAATACAGGGGGCTTCCTCCACAGCATGGGCATTAAGCAGGAGCGGCTAAGTGAGCTGGATTACCGTATGCCCCTCTATGGCGGGGGCGGAGGAGTAGGGGTGAACTGTGTTGGAGGGGGCGCGGGGAAGAGTGGCACTGACATGCCGGACATGTCTTTCGGCAACCACCACCAAAATCACCAGAACATGCTCCTGCATGACCTCAGCCTCAGCAATGTTCGTTCCCTTGGAGAACCGGTGAGGAAGCATGGTGGTTCTAAATATTGTTTCAAGTGATATATTGTTCAGTTGCCTTTTTCTGCTTAGTTTCCTTTTTTACTGCAAAGTCAGGAATTGTAATGTAAAGGCTTTTATTTAAAGACTGTTGTTCACTCTTACAATAGTGCCATCTGCAGACTGGTATACATACTCTGTTCTTTGTTCTTAGATGCCTGGAAGACCAGGTAAAGATCCAAAAGAGTCCGCAGGTCGAAGAGGGCGGAGGAGCAACGGGGATGGGCAGGGAGGCAAAGCCCGAAGGAAACGCAACGATGCTGCAAAGGTTAATCTCTTCTGTTTTCCTGCTCCCCTTCAGCACACCAGAAAAATATGTGTTGTGTGGCTGAAAAATATCTGCACATTTATGCTAACAGAAGGTCAACAAAATGTTACTTGTACCACTTGTACTCATGGTTTTCTCCTTCTAGGCCATGATGTTGGATGCAGATGGAGCCTGCCTGTCCCCCAACTCAAAACCACATATCTGTGAGCACTGTAATGCTGCCTTCCGCAGCTCCTACCACTTGCGCAGACACGTGCTTATACACACAGGTGAGAGACTTTCGCTGCTTGTTAGTGCTTTACTCTTTTCCTTAGGCTTTCCACAGTTAAACTTCCTTTGCTGATCAGAGCTTTTATGGCAAAAAATATAAATTGATGTAAGATACACACATAACATGTTAAGTGAAAAGCAGAGCAGATACCGAGACAGTGTCTGCTTCTTTCTTCTATATAACACAATGTTGTGTCAGACTTTAATGCAGCTGACAATTTTTTATGAAATATTCAGTCCCATATCTTTTTGGAGGGAATCTGAATATGCAAGTGGGGATATGGCTATGTTGCCAAAGTTTGACAGAGGAAATACAAATAAGATTTATCATTAATAAACATAACACTCTCAGAACAAAATCAATTTCAGGTAACAAAGCAACTGCACTCTTTGTGAGTCTTACTGATCTCCCCGTCAGTGCTTCAGTGGGAATTTATTTAAACCAGACAATCACTAAAGCCGGGGATGACTCAGTGATTACTCATGTATTTCTGGATGTCTTAGTCATTCTCTTTGCTGGGAATTCCTCATGTGGTTCTTTGAATTTGAACTCATAAGTGATTTAAAGGAAAATTCAGCTTTTTTACAGCCTCAATTTATTAAATTTTTTTGTTTTGTCCTTATTTCTTCCTAGTGTAATTTTATCTGACAAACATTCTGTGTCGTCTAAAGTATTTAGTACAATTTACACATGGGAATTATTTATGTATGTTTATGTATGTGTATTCATGAACCATGCACTTGACAAAATGCCACAGGCTCCTTGTCATTGTGACCATGTGGTGAACATAGTTATGTGACAGGCTGGGTGCATATTAATGTGGTGAGCGGATGGTTGTACTCTTGATCGCACAGGTGAGAGGCCTTTCCGGTGCAGTCAGTGTAACATGAGCTTCATTCAGAAGTACCTGCTCCAGCGGCATGAGAAGATCCACAGTGGTGAGTTTCTGTACTTGGATATGTAGTTAACGGAAGTGTTTTGGAACGAATGCCTTCACTTGTCTGCAGTTCATCACTTTATAGAAACTGGAGAGATGCACTAATACTGTCACTGCTGACTTTTGCAGGAGAGAAGCCTTTTAGCTGTGACCAGTGTAATATGCGATTTATCCAGAAGTACCATATGGAGCGACACAAGAGGACACACAGTGGCGAAAAGCCATATCGCTGCGATACCTGCCAACAAGTAGGCAACATAGTTTGTTTACTAAGAAGCTTCCCACCGCTTTCTTGTATTTTTAAAATATCTTTCCTGTCGCTATTGTATTTCATTTTGATGGCTTTTAAATGGTCCTTTTATTGAATGGTATCTGAGTCATTATCATCATTAGCATGTAAACAGTCTTAATTTTGTATTTTTGTACTTACCACACCCAAAGTCCCTTTTAAAGACCAGACTCAGTGTAATTTCTTGTGTCAGACAAGGTCAAGGAATATAATGTTCACATGAAATGCAGTCATATAAACTAGCCAATTACCTCTGCCTTACTTCTTCTGTTTTTAAGATAAGAAAATAATATTTTGAAACAAATGCAGTCCATCCAGTGGGAACTAAGCTCATACTTCTCTCTTTTGTCTGTCATCCCTCTGCCTACTTTTAGTTTTTCTCTAGAACAGACCGGTTACTGAAGCACAAACGGACTTGTGGAGAAGCCATAAAGAAGGGCCTGGACCCAAGCATGCTGGAGCTCAGCGAAGCGGAGCTTGGCCAGGGCAGCTATTCACTCACTCAGGGAAACTCTACCACCTCCGGACGCAAGAGGGCCAAGTCCAAAAACGGTGAGGGCGGTGAGCGCAAGAGGAAGAAGAATGCCTCAGCATCATTGGCAGCAGCCTCATCCTCTGGGGGGATGGCCCGTGACCTGGGCCTGCAGGACTTCAGCATGGAGCACCCCTCAGGCTCTGGCCCCAGCATGCAGGGACGTACTCCCAAATTGGTCTTTAAAAAAGCTGGCCGCAAGGGTCTTGACAAGGGTCTCCTCTCTCTGGAAGACAGTGCTGATGGACAAAAACTGTTGGGCCAGAAGCCTGGCTCCATGGATCATGTGGAGGGTTCTGGCCTTGACAACATGGGTCTACTCCAGGGAGCCGGGGGCAACAAGCAGGGGCCCACCACCAGCAGCAACTACGATGATGCAATGCAGTTTGTGAAAAAGCGGCGCTACCTCCATGCAGTTAACAGTGACTATGGAGCTGGCTCACTGCACATGGCAACCCAGGGCAGTAGTGTAATCCAGGGCTCCCTGGGGCCCGAGCCCACACTGGCCATGCTGGACTCGTCGCCTTTGGAACTCAAGCATGACAAGTCGGGCATTCCAGATGAGGTACTGCAAAGCCTGCTGGACCATTATAGCCATAAGCCAGAGGGGACACACCACCATGACGTGACTTTCGACCTGTCAGACCATCCACACCATGTTGACCTCCAACCAGCAGCCCCTGTTACCCCAGAGTTGGAGGATGACTCGCCCAATGGTGGTGATAAGACAGCAGTGATGAGCGAGTACTCAAAATTCCTTCTGCAGGCCCTGGAGCGCACTAGCCATAGTGGACCCTTCCCCAGCCTTGGCCCAACAGGGCCTTTCCCACTCCTGTCTAGCAGCTCCAGTCCCACAGGGCCCCTGTTCTCTGACAAACACGTGTACACCACATCCCCTCTGGATTGCGGCTACCCACCTGCTGTCTCCTCCCCATTGCCCATCGCCGCCCCTTCATCAACCTCCTCCTCGTCCTCCTCAAAGTCCCACTATGGCATGCTCGTCGGCTCGCCCTCCCAGGCAGGCTACCACCTCAGCTTGGAATCTACCAGCCACCAGCAGCTGACTCCATCTCAGGAGCTGACTGAGCAGTTGGAGAAGCAGCACTCCCCCGGCGCCTTCAACCTACCTCCCCAGGACCTGACTGCCCCGGCAGAGGGTTCCAAGGGGCAGCAGCCCAAGGCTGGAGGCAGCGCTGCACCCACCAACGGTTCCAGCTACCCAGACCTGTCCCCACTGAACCCCCCTAAAGAAACCACATACCAGATTGAGAACTTCGCCCAGGCCTTTGGCTCCCAGTTCAAGTCAGGGCGCCGGACCCCTCTGAGCTATGGCAGTGATCCTGGGGCAGAGGTCGACCACCGAATACGGACTCCAGTGTCAGAATTCTCAGGGTATACCAGTTTGTTAGCTGACGTCAGTGAGCCAGTGAGTACAGGATCAAAAACCCCGACAAGCCAAAGTTTCAGATAAGGGTCAAACAAGGTGAATCCAGTGGGGGCTGTTCTGTTACTGTCCATACAGTCCCTATACCCATCCTAATTTTGTTCTTGTAGCAAAGTTTTGTTTTTTAAACACTGCCATTAAATGTTAATACAAAAATGACCAGGGAGGGTCTTCCATGGCCTCAAATGCAATTTTTCTTTTTTTTTCTTTTTTTTTTCTTTTTTTTTTTTTTTAAATATTCTCATTTTTATTATGTATTTAGTCGCTTAATTTTTGTTTAAGAGTAGTGATTTTGATATGAACGTACCGTAGATTTAAATGTAATTTAAAACATTTAGAGGGTAGCTATAAACTTGCTTGATTTTTTTTTTCTTCTACTTCTTTCCTGAACCCTTGTGTTTTACCAATCATCATACCATTCATTGTAAAGTAATAATGAATAATGTTGATAACTTCAATAATAATAACATTTGTGGCAGGGAAAGGCCCAGAATTCAAATGGCAAAAAAATATATATTGTCTGTTACAAGAAACGTTTTAACTCAGGAAAATAGGCAAAATTGTGTAATAAGACTTTGTATTATGAGATGCAATTAGCACAGTTTTTACAGGTGTACTTTGAGACTACAAAGCTTTGATTTTGTTTTTATGTTGTTGTTTTTTTAACTCGTCAGAACAACAAATTACAATACATGATCATGTTTGGTTTCTACTGCGTGTAGCTTTGTCGAGATTATGGTACTGTTGTGTCAATGTGAAGACATCCACATTTCTTTTGAGAGCCACATGTGTACACGAGGTAGTGCAAATTTTAGTGGAGTTCAGCCCATGGTGCGCACACAGCATGTTCTGAGGTGAAGAGGATGCTTGAACATAACTGACTTGTTTTATCGGCACACAGTGTCAGTTGTTGACGCCTGTCTAATCATGCACTCCTCTGGTTGTGCCCGCCAGTGGCCAGTACAAAAGACAGCTTAGACAAACTTCTACCCAGCTCTGTCATGGTTGTCTCAGAATGCAATGCACACCAATCCGTGATCTTTTAACATGATGTTGCTGAAGTGATTTCTTTTTCTTTTTCTTTTTAAAAAAAACAAAAAACAGAAAAAAAACAAGTCACCACTTTTCTGCTCCACTCCTTGCTGTTCCTTTTTGTGTCAATGAAATCAAACAAGCACTTTTTAAACAAATCATCATTGGAAACAACAACAACCCATTCAATTTGCATATGTGATACGTGAGTATTATGCTAATGATTATTAATATTATTTTAAGAGGAGAAAACTGTGAATGGGGGTCGGGAGGGAGGGGTGGGTGGGTGGGAAGGAGGGAGGGAGGCAGGCATGGATGGTGGGTGGGTGACTGGGAGGGAGGAAGGGGAGGGCCGGATTATTGTTTATTGGGGTTTGATAGGGGTTGACTAGGCATGACCATGGGCATTTAAATGTATTTTGTTGCTTTTTCTCAAGGGTAGAAGAGAGGGGGAGGGGCGGGGGATTTTTTTCTTACGGTTTGTCGGGTGATGTTGTAAAAAGATGATTTGCCATAATTTTGTTATACAATATTTTGAGAGTACCTCTTTGTATTTAAGTGTTTTGAGAGACGGGCTGACATGCTGGAACCCTTATATCTTTAATCCCATGGGTATGTTGGATGCATACCCAAACCCTTTTATTTATTCTCCACTAGCCACAACAGAACTCAGTAGCAGATATTTTTTTGGCATGTAATCACCGGACCTACACCCCTACCCCTTTCCCTCCTCTTATTTTTAATGATTTTTTTTTAACCCCACTGTTTTAGTAATTGCAAGAAACTGCTTCAAAAAAAAAAAACAGCTCAGCAACTGAAGTTATACCCACCTTCCCTCCCCAAATTGCAGCCCTGCACTCACAAGAATAAACAATGGCCTTCTTTGTCTTCCGTGGCTAAAGCCATTCTATCCCGGCAGCCAGGGTTGATATTTAATTTAGTTGATTTCCTGTGAGACCCCCCCCCCCCCCCCCCCCTTTTTCCTTTTCCTATGTCTGTGAGCTCCACAGCCAAGAGACTTTGAAGCTGCTCAGATCACAGGGAACAAAGACTGACTGACCAGCCACTTCACTCCAAACACACACTATGCTTTTAAAGGAGAGAAAAAAAAGACAATAAGATTGACCTAAATATACCTCATATCACTAAAGCGTAAGAAAGCAGGGACACGCGTTTCATGTATGTAGTGGAAATATTTGTAGTATAGGTTCGACATATTGTATAATCATTTAACACTGCCTGTGTTTACAATTATAGAGCGAATGACTCAAAATGCAAATGTATTTTTTTTTTTTTCTGTAAAAACATCCACGCCAAGCAGTGTTGCATTCTAGATGCCTCATAGAACATTCATTTTCTCATGTTATATCCCTTATTTTTGTTACTTGCCATAATGTGTTTTGATATGATCTCTAGAAGGATATTGTTTACAAAAATGTACAAAAACACTAAAAATGTGTGTTCTCAATTTTTTTTTGAGTTTTTCTCCAGTATGCATGATAAAGACATTTTTGTATGGCTTTTTTTCTGTCACCTCAATACCAAATTTTGTAGCAGAAGCCTCCCCATTCCTTTGTCTTATTTGTTCTAGACCCCTTGTGATATGATTTCCCAGGCTGTACCTGTTATTGAGATGATGAACGGATTAGAGAAGCCAATAAAAACTTTTTGTTACAAAAAAAAGTACATGGTGTGTGTGGTTTTCTTTGTAAAAGCACTGAAAGTTCCTACAAGAGTCAACCTTCAGCTTTGTCAGTAATGGCTGAAAGATGCCCAGATAGATATGTGTTTTCCAGTTTCTGCTGCTTTGTTGTACATGACCCTGATTTGAAAGGGCTGGTTGTCCAGGTGAATCATAGTGTTAGAAAGCCAGGAGGCCACTGGTGTGGTGAGGTGTAGCCAGATTTTATTAAAGCAACAGTGCTACAATCTGAAAATAACAAAAGTCCTGCACTCAAAATGTTTCAAAGCAGTAGATTATATCAAAAGTAAAGATTGAGTAATTTTTTTTATCTATCCCAATGCACAAATTTTCCTCAAAGAGCTTTACAATCTACAAAACTACAAACTAACACCAGTACTCTTAAAATTGTACTACAGCACAGTACGAGTAAAGGTAATTGCTTACTTTTGCATTATTTTTGACTGTGATGGTGTGATTCTTTGACAGTATAATATCAACTGTTGCATCCTGCTACTGTATGAGTGCACATCCAAATAGCCTGAAGTTAGGAGGAAAACCCCAGTTTCCTTTGTTTGCATTGTTTGTTTTGATTGACTTCTCACACTACTTGAGAATACAGGAGTAAACAGGCAGGATGGTGCAGCAGCACAATAAACATGCTGTGCCAAATGAGAGGTTTGTAGTTTAACAATCTGAGTTTTATGCAGGCATGCTTGCAATGGATGCACCTTGATCCCCCTGTGAATGAATCCAGTTTACAATTTGTCATGTGATCTGTCCAGGGAGAATATGTTTTTAGCACAATTCGCTCAGTCATCCTGTAATTTAGACACAAGGCCTTGTTGCCAGAGGATGGAGCTGTTTTCCTTGAGGAACATTGACAGTTACATTGACTTTAAAAAACAAACATTTCCCCAGAATTATTGGCATATCGTACAAATGGCCTTGTTAATGGGTGCTGGGATGTCAGAGTTAAATGCAGTGTCAACAAGATTCTTTTGCTTTCACACCGACTTCATGCTGTTGACGTCTGACGGCTGTGAAAAACCTGTTTCCAAGAGACTTAAGAGATGCTAGAGTGTTTCACTGCTCTTACGGCCATTGGCTCTTATATGGATCAGATAAGCAGCTTTAACTGTCGTAGTTTGTGAATACACGTCTCAATAGCCTCAAATTAAAAGGAGTAAACTGTTGTCTGTAGCTCCCGACCCAAACATCACTATCAGATAAGTTATAATCAGCCCATAACCATAAATTTTCATTAACCTTAACCAAGAGCTTTAATTTCCTGACGTGAATTATGCCTAAACTGTAGTTTACTTGCTAATATAACCACAATCTTTCCCTAATCTTAACCATTCTGTAGTTGCCATGCACAGATATTGTAGAAAGTGAGATATTGTTTATAAAAAAAAAAAAAAACAGTGAACATAGTTTGGGCTTTTTTCAGAATTGTCCAGTACTGACATTCTTGTCTGGCAATAGACAGACACAACCTGTTTTTCAGGTCAGTAGTAAATATTTATGCAAATCATGGCTTCTTGTCTTATTTCAGTTGCTTTCATAATGTAATCGTTCAAGCATAGATGAGGAGACATTCTAAGTAATAGTAGTAATGTTGTGTCAACATACAGTTGAATAAATGAGTGAGGAAACATAATAAATGTAGATACTTCCCATCAGAGCCTAAGGAGTCACTGAGTATGAAGGATATCATAGGCAATGGCCTTTAGAGTCATTAGAGCTCAACCTAGGGGGAGAATTTGGAGCAACATGTTAGACAGAGTTTCACTTCCCCTCTTGACCCCCTCATGAACATCAAGTTCTAATCCCAACTGCCATTGCCAGGAACAGCATGTCGGGTGGGGTTAATGGTGGCAATGAACGGTAAGTGACTTTGGACTTACAGTTAGCAAGTGGACACAGAGGCAGTTATTGCTCACAGCGACGTGTCCATAAAACCTGGGAGGGAAAAATGAAGCTGGGGAATAATTGATGTATCTCTATTTGAACATTTACCTCCTTTGGAACAAATGTGATAATAAACTAAACCCAATTCAAAAGTTAAGAATTAGTATTTGGAAAAAATTTTTATCAATATAATTTTGTTGCGGAGTGAGCAGTTATCAGCTTAATAGTGTGTAATTAACTATGTAAAATTAAATTTATTTATATAGAGTGAGTCTTTCTTTTGGACCCCACTGTATGTTGTTTTACTTGAGGAACAGGTTTTTTTTTAAATTATTTTCAATTTGTAAATTACATCTATTGAAATATATATTTCAAGAGTTTGACATTCAGATCAAGAATAAGTCTTATGTGTTTCTTAGCTTATCATTATTGAAACTTTAGGCCTATTTATTACTGATGTTAAACAAACCTAAAACCTAAATAATTAAGATATACAGTAGTTTTTGTCCAATGCTAGTTAATGTATAAAGAT